GAGAGAGAGAGAGAGAGAGATAGAGAGAGAGAGAGAGAGAGAGGAGAAGAAGAAAAAAGAATAAAATAAAAAATCAAATTGCTCAGTTCTAACACACAGTGGCACAAAATGTAATCATTAATTACAAAAGGGAAGAATATAATCATAGCAAGGAATGATCCAAGCAAAGAAAGACTAAAATGCAACAAGGTAAGCATCAAATCCTGTAACTCTATGGCCAACATTTAGGGCTCATGATGAATTTCCAGAGGGCTTGGGTAGCCCCGCCTGTCTACTTCTGCTGCTTGTAGCAATATATCCTCTGTCTTGGCAAGCTTTGCACTGTGTCTTCAGCTTTCTTCAATGAATATCTTACTGTCCTACCATCTGTAATATTCTGGGATCTCTCCATTGAGTCACCTTCAGATCTTCATGCAGTAATGTTTCAAGGTCACCCTACAAGTACTTCAGTACTGCTACATAGTTCTTGGTGTCAGTGACTCTCTGACACTGTGCTGAAAGGCTCCAAAGACCCCACCACCATGCATCTTCTATACCTGCAGAGTCAGTACCACATGGATGGCTAGACTTTTCTAGATTCTTAGTAGCAGCAAATTAATTCTTCCGCTTTTGTAAATGTATCTCTCAGATTTGGTGTCACTGCTCCTGAGTGGTTCTTTGTGTCCTGGGTGTTAAACAAAACATGTTGGCATCTTGACATTTTATTTTGAGACAGAGTTTCACTGTGGAACCCTGGCTGTCCTGGAACTCACTCTGTAGAACTGGCTGGCCTCGAACTCACAGTTAGGCCTGCCTCTGCCTTCTGGTTGCTGGGATTAAAGGTGTATGCCTGAAGTACCAAACATTGCAGACACCGTGTAGAATTTTTAAAAATCTAAGAATGGAAACATTTCAAGAGATGATAATGAAGTATGAGGTCATCATGCAAGTGGAGTGCAGGGTCACGTGGCTAAATATCAGGCTAAACTTTTTGGAGTGTTTACAGACACCAGAGAAATGTAAGAAATGTAATCTAAAATACACATGACAACACACCATAAGTTGTGGCACACATAGATGACATAAACCATGATGTCCGCTTCAGTTTTCAGATTCTGTGTGACTCAACCGTGGTGACCTACAAAGATGCATCCCTGGCAAGCGAACTTTCATGGATGAAGAGCTCTGTTCCCAGTATCGGGCAAAGTATTCTTTGACTAGAAAGATAATACAGAAAATAAAAAAGAACCAGAGTATCAGATTATGGGCAAAGACATTACCTGGGAGCATTCAGCACTTTCTTGCTGTCTGGGAAGATATATTGCTGTACTGTGTTCTAAAAGTGAAAGTGACACCAAATTTGAGAGCTACACTAACAAAATCAGAAGGATTAATTTGTGGCTACTAAAAATCCAAAAAGAAAAAAAGCCTAGATTTAAAGAGCTAGAAGTCAATTCATGAAATAGCAGTCATACTTCCTCTGCCTATTAATTATCTAAAAAGAGCAGGGAGGGTTGGTGGTCATGTGGATGACTCTTAGACTCCCTTACATACCTTTTTATGTCCCTGGAAGGATGCCCAGTCTTTGAATTGTGATCCAAATGTAGTGAGGCTTGGTCTGCCAAGCATTTCCCTAGCGTTCACAGAGAGGGAAGCAGCCACACATTCCCAGGATATGTGTGGAGAGAGAACACGTCAGTCACCACTGCCAATACAGTTTCCTAAAATTTGTTTTATATATTGGAGTTCTGTATTATTTCAACGGGGAGGATATGTTTAACATTAAATACACGTAATTATTTACTACAAAGTAAAAGTTGTTCATTATTAACACTATCCCCTTGCATTCCAGATAACTCCCAAAATAGCCAGGCTCCAGTGTGAAAGTCATCAGTGTAGGGATGTTGGCAGTTGTTTTTCATGTCAGTCAACACTTTATGTGCATAGAACAAATTTATTGTTCCTTGAATTCTCCAGCTATGAGGAACATTAATATAACCCATTTTTATGTTTAAAGGCAATAAAATGTTCAATTGTTCTTGCTTTGGGGAATGTTAAGTGTCCATTATTGAGAAAAGGTTTTGTATTTTGTAGCATTTAATTTCCAGCTGCTAACTTAAAGTAGGCTGCTACATCCACATATTTTCATTAATTATTTAATAAATATAATAAAAGATGGGAGTAATGAAAAAAGAAAAGAAGAGAAGGCAGAAGAAAACCACACAGAGAGACAACTTCATTTCTTGGTTTTTTTTTGGGGGGGGTGGTTTCAGAGACAAATTCATTTCTACTAGGGTGACGAAAATAAAAAACATTTAGGCCATGAAACATGTTGGTCTGAGGAGATGGCTCTGTGGATAATCACGCTTGGTGTATAAGTGAGAGGACCATAATTCAGATCCTTAGAGCCCACATACAAGCCTGGCAGGTGTAGCAGCTGCCTGTAATCCTAGTACTTGGGATTCAGACACAGGATCCTAGGGCTGGCTAGCTGGGCAAAGTAACTTAAATTGGTGAGTAAGGTTTGCCAAGAGACCCTGCCTCAGTAAATAAAATGGAAGGGGATCAAGGAAGACACCTGTCAACTTCTGGACTATTGAAACAAACACACACACACACACACACACACACACACACACACACACGAAAAATGTTATCAATGACTTAGGGAAATAAAATAACTTATGCAATGGTAGTGTACATATATGAAAAGCAGATTAGAAATTCCTGTAATAATTGAACAGAATTAACATATGCTCAAATGATTCTACTTCTCAATGTGTATCCAGGACAAAAATGTGTCCCAGGACAGTGTGGAACTGGCAATCTTCCAGCAGTGCCACCTGTTTTAAATGTCGCTACAAAACAGTGATTTAAGACACTGGGAGATCAATTCATTGGAAATTTAGTGGAGATTTGATACATAAAGACCCCAGTGCATCAGCCGCTGTGGGACTATCAGAGAACAAAAGACCAAGGCAGGATGTGATGGACACAAACGTGGTGTTCAAAAGCTGAGGGCTGTCATGGAAGGCACCACCTCTGCCTTCTGGGCTTGTTCTGGAGCATATATTGAAACATGCCATGTCCTTCCTTAAATGGATGCCTGTACACAAGCTAAGTTTCTGTATGTACAGGTGCATACAAGGTCTCATCAAACACAGCCCAGAGCTACCGTCCCATAGCAGGTCTGTGAGACAAAAATTCCTGTGATGCGAATACTTTCCCCCATGAAATGAGCAAGTCTTAAACATATGTATTTTTATAATGGTAAGGTTTATTCCTCTGGCTAAGAAATCCAAAGGTAATTTGCAATTGGCAATCCTTTTTATATTTCTGCTATTAAAAGCATACTGTTCACTGCTTTCCAAAAGTGGCTGATAAGCCTCTTTCATTTATGTCTTACTGTTTTTTTCATTTTGTGATGCAACATTAATAATACAGATACATATATTCATTTTGTGGAAAATAAGAAGAAAGAGGATACAGGTTCACCTCTTTGGCATAGAATAAGACTTTGCATGGCATAATACATAAATGGACACATACATATTGCTTTGGAGCTTGCAATTTTTGGTTTACAATGCACTACCAGATGATTTTCCTCTCATGTAAATGAACAAAACTTATTAAATCAGTGGCGTAGAACTGAAAGATGAGATGTGTTCAGCATGAAATTTATATTACTGTAACCAATAGTGAAAGATTGAAGGGAAATGATAGCACATATTTATAAAGAAAAATGGAAACAAAAAGCAGTGGAAGTATTAATAGCAGAAAATAATTTCTGAGGCCACTGCATTAAAAGGGATGGTCCCGAGAATGGGTATGGTTATAATGCAGAGCCCTAAATTTTTTTCTCAAACTTCTTATTTCTTCCAAACACCTTTCCATCTCTTCTTCCTCTCCTGTCATTTCTTCGCCTTTAAAATGCCTGTAGTCTAAGTCGTCTTTAAATTCTTCAAGAGACTCAAGCAGCCGCTGTCTGAAATTCCCTTCCATTCTCTGGCCTTCCAATGCTCTATAAGGATGTTCGTCCTCCATCTTTGGCTCACTGCACTGGGCCTTTCCTTCTTTTTCGCTGCTGGACTTTTGCATGATGTTGTTGTTTCCTGCTTAACTTCAGGGAGAAAATGAAGAGACAATTACTTTCTTACTTTTGAATCGATTTCTCTTTGAATCAGGGTATGAGGCCATTTTTCCAGCCTTTAAAAACTGAAAATGTCTCAGCTTCTTCTTCAGCTTCCTGTTCAATCTTACCTTTTCCTCATCCCCGCCCCTCAACCTTGAACCCACCCTTTTGCCAGTAGATAAACTGAATGGCCAGTGAAGCTGCAAAATTTACCCAGCATTGTCCCTTTGCAACTCCCATCCTAAGAACCCCAGTCTAAGTGACTCCCACACACCACACTGTACACATGCAGGAAGGTTTCTCACTCGCTTTTCCCACTGGGTGGTATCTGTGAACACAGATTCCTGGACCTACAAACAGAAACAAGGGGCCAGGGAAGAGAATTGATATCAGACACGTGTTCTCATTATCTGGAATCTAGGGCTTTCATCATTACTTTCAAGTCATCTACTGCCTGTTTTCTTTTCCTGTCCTCTAGAACTTTTGTGCCTATTCCCTACCTCTCACTCTCAGGCCTGATCCTTGTAAGAGTAGGCATCTCCCATTTCCCATTTTGACCCCACCATTGCAGGTTAGCATTAAATTAGGTAAACTATTTTCAAATTATCTCAATTTTTTATTGTCTCCATCCCATGAATTCAGTCTTTCTCCATCCATTACTCACATTTCAGTGCTACCGTGTCCTCCAAGGAATTGGGGAAAAACGAAGAAGAGGACAGAGTTTTCCAGGATAAGAGAACCCTATTGTTTCTCGGTTATATCTAAATCACTAGATGTCTCTCAAGCATTCCCCATGTTCCCTAGTTCTTTTCCAAATATACAATTATTGAGCCAGCAAGATGGCTCAGTGGGTAAAGGCACTTTCTGCTTAGCCTGAAAACCTTAGTTCAATCTCTGGGATCTACATCGTAGGAGGAAAGAAGCAACTCCAGCATATTGTCCTCTGACGTCCACACATACATAGTGGGACATGCACTCACAAACATGCATGCAAATAGGTCAATTGATTAAAAATTAATACATGTGCAATTATCTATCCCCAAATTAGATAGATGGGGAAATAAGTCTAGATGGTTTTCTGTCTCGTTCAGCCACTATTACTCAAAGGGGTCCTGGTGGTTTCTGCACACCAATCTGCTGGGATTTAAGGAATTTACCTTCTCTTCTCCTTGGCCACTAGTCTTCAGGGCAGTAAAGAGCTCGTACCCAGAGGAGAAAGGAACCTGGATATATAACGACTTGGGCTCTCGTCAGCTTCTAATCACGTGAGAATTATGTCATCTTCCAACTCTGGTCCCTATTTTCCCCTCCCATCAGCAGTGCTGCAGAAGTAGACCTGTCTACTAACGTCCCACCCCCACCACACCAGTTCCTGTCACTCATTTTTGCCTTTGCTAATTTCAGAGGTCAAAAGTGGCCCCTTCTCCTTATGGATGGAATGTGCCTTTCTCTGATTACCAGGGAAGGGCTGCATCTTCTCATGGTTATAATAACCATCATTCCTTTTTTAGAGGTTGTGTTGAGAGAAAGGATTACTCAGCCTTGTCTTGGTTGCAAGAACAGGAAAGTGGCAGTCTTGCCTCTACTCACTCTTCCTTTAGACATGAAAAAGTATCATTTTCCTTAGAGTCTAACCTTTGAAACCAAATTGGAGTATATGAGATACTAGGAAATGTGGCAATAATTGGGTTTACATATTTTTACTTTTTTCCAAGTATCTTAGGTTTCAACTTTCCATAAACACAAGTCTCATAATTTGAAATATGGTAAAGACATGCGTATTTTGAAAAAAAAGATTAAAAATAGGAAGATAAAAAGCTCCAAGCACCTGTTTCCGCTAATGAAGTCACAATATAAATATAGATCTTTCAGGCAGGCACACTTTTAGAAGTTCAAAACGTACAGAGCAGTTGGAGCATGCCCTTTCACAGAGACTTTAGAGCAGGTGAAGTCCTTCTGTCACAGGGATAGCTAAGACTATAATCCCACAGCATTCTGTCCTTAGATATGCAGATCTCAAAAGTCAATCACAAATATCTACTAGTTTGATTTCATAATTTCACAGTTTGTGCCATGCCCTATCCCTTGAATGTTGTGCCCTGGATATCCCACTTTTCAAAATCTTTACCTTCAGTCAGAACATTTTTATTTTCGTTTACTTCTCTCAAACATCTCTATCCTATGTATGTTTTCCTAGACTTTAATCCACCATATTAAGGAAACCAGTTACAGAAACCACCACCCATCATACCAAACATTTCTTGCTAAGGATTTTGTACTTTTATAAATGGATTTGGTTACCTTTACATAAGCAATGGAAAAAATATGCAAAGTGCTTCAGTCTTGTTTACTAGGAAGTCTGGAGCTCGTTGCAAGTGTAATCACTACTAGCAAGCTTGTTGTAAATGATCCCAGAAAAAAGTTAACTGAGCAGAAGAAGGGGTATTTTTAAAAGTAGAGCTCTGTTGCACCGTTTTAAAGGAATTATTAGCTTTAATAGAGAAACCAGCTAGTGAACAGCCAGAGAAGAAATGAGGCTCTTAGTTCAAAAGCTTACTAGAAACTAAATCCTACTAACACATTTGTAATTTAAGAAGTGAATCTTCTTGCAGTCGAATGTTAATATGATACCAGTGTTATCAACACCTTCATTTCAATCTTGTAGGAGACCTTGAGGTGAAACCATCCAATCCAAACTACCTAGGTCCTAGCTGCTTGGCCCACAGAAATTAAGATGATAAAAGTTTGTAATTTTTCATTACTAAATATAAGCATAATTTGTAATCCAGAAATAGACAACACAGGTATCTAGGAATTAAGTTTGTGTGCTCCAGATGTATTTAACAAATTGTGGTTCTTTAACCTCTCTGAGATCTGCTGCATATGACACTTAAAATGTTTAAGTTTTCTGCACTGGACCATGACCATGCCTATCAGTTGGGTGCCATTTGTAGGAGGAGTCTTTTTAGGATCCCTGGCTCCAAAATAACTCACAGAGACTTAATATTACTAAGTAGCTCTTACATTTTAAATTAATCCACATTTCTTTTTATTATTAAAATTAGAAACAAGATTGTTTTACAATCTCCGTTCCCTCTCCCTCCCCTCCTCCTCTGCCTCCCACTAACACCCTACCTATCCAATACCATATGTGCTCCCCAGGGAAAGTGAGGCCTTCCATGGAGGGGTCTTCAGGGTCTGTCATATCCTTTGGGATAGGGCCTAGGCCCTCCCCCATGTGTCTAGGCTGAGGGAGTATTCCCCAATGTGAAATGGGATTTCAAAAGTTTATTCCTATGCTAGGGACTACAAGAGGCCACATAGATTTCTGAGGCCTCTTATCTACCCTCTACCATGTGGTGGTACTTTCTCTCAATATGGCACATTCATCTTGCTTCTATCTGTTTCTGGTTCTTGCCTCCCCAGACTCCAATCTTCTTCTTTACAGCATTCTCTTTGACCCCAAAATCCTACCTAGTTATCAGCCAATCAGCAGTTTTATTAACAATGGGAACAACACATTTTCATAGTGTACAGAAGGATTATTCCATAGTATTTCCCCCTTTTTGTCTAAATAAAAAGGAAGGTTTTAACTTTAACGTAGTAAAATTATATACAACAAAAAATGGTTATCAAGAATTACAGTAACAATATCCATTCCATTTGTATTTGCTAAATTTAGGGAAAATATTCTATTATTGATCTTATCTTTGTGAGTATAAAGTTTTGTACCTAATATACCTTTTTATCATAACTAAGGGAAACTTTACTCCTAATTATTTAGTCTTTAACTCCATCAAAGACCCCAGAAGGGTGAAATGTTACCTAATGGCAGGGACATCTGGCTGTCTGGACAGTCACTCAAAGTTCTGAAATAGCGTTGGGTCATCAACTTTGGCCTACAGGCCTAGCATATCTGACAGACATTTCTGTAAGTGGAATTCTTAATAAGTCTAAGTAATAAAAACCTGAAGTCAGATATAGAGGAAAATACTAAGAGATCAGAGAGAAGGAGCAAACCACCACCACACCTTATTGCCTTAACATCTCAGCAGACAAGAGAGTGAGTACCTGTTTCTACCTGCTTATATCCTGTTTCCACCCAGCTACCTCACTTCCTGTCTCTCTGTACACACCTCCAGAATTGTATGGTTAGCTAGTGGCAAGCTCCCTTCTCTGACCTTCAGACAGGCTTTATTTTTACAAGCAAGATATCACTACACATTTCTGAGAAGCAGGGAATTTTGAAGGACTGTCCTAACTTGTCTGGGCAAATTTTGGCAGTCACTTTTTGTGTGTGTGTTCTGCTGGTCCGGTTTGGACAGTATAATGTCAACAATTGAAGCAAGGGCAGTGTCTTTCCCAAAAGGCTAGCTTTTGCCATAAAGAAAAACAACTCCACACAGGGGTTCTTCAATGCCCATCATCTTTTTTAAGACAATCGGTGGTGTAAAGAGCAAACTTGTTTCGTTGTAAAGAAAAGCTTTATGTTATTAAGATATTTTAAATGCTTAAATATTCTGTAGGTCTTTGAAGTGTTTGAAGACCATCTATCTACCTAAATATATCAGTTTAACTTTGAAAAAATGCCTAATGTGACTATAAGTTTGATTATTATAGATTACTATTACCCTGTATTTCTTTTTTGTTAGTTTGTTTGTTCTTATTTTTCAAGACTTTGGAGGCTGTCCTGGAACTAGCTCTTGTAGACCAGGCGGGTCTCGAACTCAACAGAGATCCTCCTGCTTCTGTCTCCCGAGTTCTGGGACTAAAGGCGTATGCCACCACCACCCGGCTTACCCTGTATTTCTTAATTATACATTATATTTTAAATGATTTGCATAGGCACAATACCCCAAACAAGAATAGAAACATACATACAGCATAACAAAATTAACTTTAAATTTGTATCAATAAACTAAACTATACCAATGTAAAATATTTTACGATTAATAGTTGCTTTTTT